TTATTATAATATAAATTTTGATGAGTGTAAAAACAAATAAATTAATTCTCTTTTCAGATTAGCTGTAATTAAACATTAAGTAAATCAAATAAACTAAAAACCCTCTTTTTAACAGACATATATAGCTCAACATTAACAAAAGGCATACCGTTAGGTTCCCATGAGTAACTAAAACAGATTAAAATCGATACATAGTAAGGGTCCAACAAAACATCAGGGATCACCATCGTCTGTCTCCAGTGTCCCTCATGTTACAACCAGTATTCATGTACGCCTTGAGCCAGTCCTACAAACAGCAATAGTCTCCAGGTGTTTGTCTGGTGAATCACATTCCAGGTGTAGTTAAAAAATGTATTTCCTTAGGTTAGTGAAGAACAAGCCATGTAAAGTATTCCACCAAAGACATCATTCTCTGCAGAGCCATTGCATCTCACATGCAAGCGTAGTGGTTAAAAACAAACAAGTTCCAAGTTAAAAATGTAATATGTAAAAGAGTGCAGTAGGAGAATACATATACTGTAGATATTATCTGCATTAGTTAATAGCTGATAGTAATGTAAGGGTGTGCAAGTGTTTATATAATCTTGGAGAGATCTGTTTCTCTGTTCTGAACAGTTTGGAAATGTTTGCATGTTGCATGGAGACTATGGGAACTATGCACTGATAGCTTGCTCAAGCAAGAACATTCTAGTTCATCTCCTCCTTGTTTAATTTATGGGTTCATCTTGTGAATAAACATCCAGCAAGCAGCTTCCCTTAAATTTCATGTGTCAAACTCAAGGCCCGCGGGCCACATCCGGCCCGCGAGGTCATTTTATATATCTTTTTTTTTTTAAATGGCCCGGCAATATAAAGCACTGATAACACACAAACTACAAATCCCATAATGCAGCGCAATAGCTGCCTTACCGAACGTACATTATCTGTGATCATTCCTGTGTCAATTACGTCAGCTCAATCAAGCGTCTGTTGATGTATACAACCCTAATTTCAAGTCAAAGCTAGCCCCTAACAATGGCCAAGAGAAAAGTTGATTATGAAAACAGAGCGTTTCAAAACCAGTGGGAGGCTGAGTATATGTTTACTGACATTGCCGGTAAACTCGTGTGTCTTATTTGTGGAGCTAATGTGGCTGTAATTAAGAAATATAACCTAAGGCGGCACTACGAGACAAAACATCAGGACAAGCTGAAAAACGTGAATGCAGAGCAGAAGCTACAGAAGGTAGAGGACTTGAAGAGGAATCTGACATCACAGCAGACGTTTTAACCAAAGTGAAATCACACAGTGAAGCTACTGTGAAAGCAATTTTATTGCGGCAGAGGAGAAAATCAGCCCGGACATTTACTGAGGGACAGTTTCTGAAGAGCTGCATGATGAAAGCATGCAAGGTCTTGTCTCCAGACAAAAAGCAGGTGTTTGCAAATGTAAGCCTTAGCAGAAATACGGTTGTTGATTTTAAGTTAATTTATTTTGGAATAATATTGTATCCTGCCTGTTTCGATTCATATTTATGTTCAAAAAACGTTTAGTTTTAGTCTGTTCAATAAATTTTTATCCTGTTCGGCCTGCGACCTAAAGTGTGCTTTGAGTTTTGGCCCCCTGTGCAATTGAGTTTGACACAAGGGCCAGGAAGAACTGTAAACATTATGAGGGGCATAAAAAACTAGTGAATCAGCAGTAACCCGGCCGGGAGGGGACTGTAGACTCTGACTGACTGTACCTTGTGGCCGACAATAAGGGTGACTGACTGATTCTTTGACAATTCTCATATCTAATACTATTGTTTATTTTTTATGTAGAGTGATTCTGTTCCCTATCTTTCAGACTTTTGAATTATCTTTCAAATTACGGAACTGCTCAGAATTATTGTAATAATAAATAAACATGGGGATAATTTGCCTGAATTAATTTAGCTCACATCAGACCCTAACAATCACACGAGCAGACCACAAACATCCAACAGGTACCACTGGTCCGAGGAATCCATCAATTGGTCTTTACCCGCTCCGAAGTGCTTCACAGGCAGAATAAAAAAAATACAAGCTTAATTATTTGTTTTAGAGAGAAACATTAAGCCTTATATCTAGAAAATAAACTGAGCGTTGCTGCTATGTTCTGTTGCTAGGGGAAGTCTAATAAAAACCCTTTAATGTGTGATTCTTGCTCTGGGGGTGATGATCGGTCCTGTTCGCCCTGGGAAACCCTAATAAAATCCCTTAATGTAGTTATAAAAGCATAATATATTGTTTCAAAATGAAAATCTAACACCTACATGCAAAACCTTTGACGTATGTAAATAGGGGCCATAAAAGTTGACAGCCTTTGATCTAGGTGGAAGTGCAAAAAGTAATAAATCTTGACTTCACACCTCAGTTTGACAGGAGCTGCACTTTTTATATCTCTGAGAGCCTTTAGCGATCAAGCCCTTCTCCTGTGGAACCAGCTCCCAGTTTTGATTAAGGAGTTATGCAGCCTCTTAACTTTTAAGATTATGCTTAAAACTTTACTTTTACTACACTTAGTAAACTTCAATTAACTTTTAATACTCTTCAGTCAAAACATTTTATTATATTTTTATTTTATTATCCTTTATATTAAAGTGGTACTGAATGCAGAGAAGACTAAGCTAATGCTTTTCACTAAAATGCACGTGTGTGTGGCGGGGGTGGGGGGGGGGGGTTACTTGATGTCCTCATGGGGACAAAAGCAAGTCCACAAAATTTTAATTATTACACTTTAGAATGATGACTTGGCTTAAGATTAGAGTGAGTTTAAGGTTAGGTTAGTTGTTAGGCAAGTAATGGTCATGATTAAGGTTACGGTAAGGCTCCAAAAAATTTTATTAAATCAATGTAATGTCCCCTGAAGTTATTGAACAACAACATATGTCTGTGTGTGTGTTGGGTGTTTTATTAACCTGCGGTGTGTGTTACGGTTACTGTTGACATGGCCTTGACCTGTGCAACCAGGAGTTGGACACTTCAGGACATTCTCATGCATGGCCAGGACTACAGACACATGGCAGACAAACAGGTCAGTCTGGTTAATTTGCTGGGGATCACATCACTGTTAGTAATATAAGAGTAGTTGTGTAACACATACTGAAAAGACAGTAAGTAGCAATAAAAGTAGTTGGTAGTTTATTGTATTACACAAGGAAGTAGTAGTGGTAGCACTAATAATAATGCTGGTAGTGAAAATAACAGAAACACAATATAACTACACCTTTACTTGCCCCCAAGCTGTTAAATATATAAATAAAAATGGTTTATATACATACAGTACTGACTTTTTTTAAATAATGTGCACTCACTCTCTGGAGGGATTCGATCTTTGTGAGGACATCCAGATAGACTGCGATGGTGAGGGTACAGCCCAGTCACGTGACCTGTCCCATCACACCCTGGGGTTGGACACTTTACTTCCTTCTTCTCTGAAAAGAGCAATGTGTGATTAAATGGCAGCAATAACTAATTAAAACACATCTGTATTAGTACAAGGAGTGGGTAGTACCATTAACTGCAGTTCTTACCTATGTAACTGACACTAGGTCCAATACTCAAAATAATATCTTATAGTATTGGTAGTATTAATACTTTTGGTATTGATCCACCCACTTCCAAACAGTACCAATAATTCAAAACTGACAGAGAATGGGAGTATGTGGCTGGATTGACAGAATAGGCAGAAATTGGGATTTTTATTTTTTGTTTATTATTTGGACATTTTATATTGTGATTTCAGTATTATTAGACTCACCATATTTAGAACAAATATATAAAAAGGGGTTCATTATTTCCCCATCAAAATGTTATTCTGAGCAGTTTAGACAGGCAGCTCTTTACTTCTGCATTATGAAATAAAAAACTAACAAAAAACTAAACAAAAACAAAGCAAAATAAAAAACTAAAAAAAAAAAAAAAACACACACACACACACACACACACACCAGATGTTTTTGGCCATCCATAGTCAACCATAAGTGTTTGCATGCTTATTTTGTACTTTTATACTGCAGAGGGTGCAATTCCCTGTATTATCCATTTTTAAGGTCTCCTGGGACCTTAAAAGATGAATACAGATTGAAAATGCTCCACCTGCATTAAAGTCATGGATGTGGCAGTATTTTATATTCTTGTAAAATGTGGCAAATTTAATTAAAAATTACTGATGAAACAAAAACTATATGTGAGTTCTGCAGGATGATAACACCCTACATCACTGCTAATACAACCAAAATAAGCACTCATCTCCATTGCTGCCATAAAAGCATGTCAAAGGAAAACTAGAATTACCACTCCAGAGTTGTATGACTCTGTAAACCAGTTAAAATTATGGGAATGGAACAGATGTAAAGTCACTGACCTTGTCCTCTGACCACCAAAATCTATTCAGTTCATCTTTGAATCGAAGTGGATGTTTGTGCCAGATTTAAAGAAATTGCCTCAAGTGTTCCTGATATATCATGTTCACAAGAATGGGCCTTACAGATTGGCAAGGCACAGTTACATTAGTTCCATCTATAAAAGCCATCACCAGTTACAAGCTGCAGTTATTGCTTTCGGGATTCTGGGTGTAAAAGCACATCAGTTAAGTGTAAGCCCATTATCTAATTATAAATCATGTTGAAAATGTGCTGTTGTATAGCTTTTCATTAGAGAGCCCATGGCAAGCTTTTCCTTGTTTGTTTTTTTTAATCATCTACAATGTTACAACGGTGAATTATCATCTTAGATCTTATTCCTTGAATATTCATAGTCTACTGGCAGTTGCGTGTTTATGCAAGCTTGCCTGACATTCAACGGTGCCATTTTAAAAGTGGAATTTTGCAACTGCATGTGGTTTTGTGGATATATTTTACCTCCCGCTGCACTATGACCAGAGGAGGTGAAGAAAAATACAGGGCCTGAAGTTACTGTATGCCTGGGAATGTTCCTGCACAGGGACTTGCTATTTTACCTGACCGGGTCTAACCTACAAGCAGCCAGCCAGTGAAGCCCTCCATGGCGGTGAATGATCAGATCATCAATGCTTGATTTCCCTGGACCACAGTGCCTGTTTGACTGCTTGAGGCCAGTGTTTGCCGCATGTGATGTGTTGCTGGTTAAATGAGCGGATTAACGATCAATGATGTTATTGTTGGTGCTACACTACATGTTATAATTGATTTTACTACTCTGGAATTCTATGTAGTCGTGTGGGTGAAGATGCAGCTACCACCAGTTAGATTTACTGAACTTGGAGCTACTTGAAAGGGAGTGATGTTTCCACTACTTGGTGGGACTTAACTGTACATTTAAAAACACATTACATGTCTGTTAATGTCTTGGTTCTGTAATGAAACAAGAGAATTGCTGTAAGGCTGGAGAATTTACTCTGTCTGCATTATGTCAGTTAAAATATGAGGTTTCTCAATTTCGCACTTTGTTTAGTGTTACAAATCTCTTTTCATCGGTACATATACCCTTGTTTTCCTATCTATGGAGGAGAAATTCATAATAATTAATGCCATTGTGATTGTTTCTGAGACAGTAACATTCAGAGATTGGGCATAAATGTTTCCACAGCACATTTCTATGAACCATTCAGGAAGGTGTCTCCATGACAATACACCCAATCCAATCAGCTAACATCAAAACATCCCTTGGCCAGCCAATCAGGAAAAGCCAAGTGCTTGAGCCAGCAAATGACTATGGGAGTCCCACCTCCCTTTGTCCAGTTGGAAGTTTGAATTTGCAGCATGTGTTTTGTCTTTTGTCTGTGTTTTTCTGTGTATTTGTGTGAAAATCATTTTTGTTTTTGTTTGTTGTTATGCTTGCATCACCATGAGAAGAGTTTTTCTTAGCTATTAATGTTATTTTGATTTTTGAGTTTTGATTATATTTAAACAGGCGAAACAAGCTGACTAACTCTTTAGCATGCCAAGTCTTGAACAGCTGAAGTTTGCAGACAAAGAAATTTTGCAAAGTAAAGTAAAGAAACTAAGTATTATTTAAACTGAATTGTTTGTTAAGATGGCATCTCTGAAGTTTAACAATCAGATCAAATTAGACGTTGTTTTCTTCAAGACATCTTTAAACACAACCTACAAAGAATGGACCTCGGGCCAGCCAGTGTCCAAAAAGAGATCATGGACAAGATGACACAAAGAGAGAGATTCACCACAACTGAGAGGGCCAGAAAAGTGCTAGCAACAGTGGATCCTTATCTGAGCTTGCAGCTGAAACTCTGGCCCAGAAAGGGTCCTGACAAAGATCATCTCTCTGTCCGGCGCACACAGTCCAGCCCTGCTAAGCTAAGTACCATGTGGTTAAGTTGATGTCTCATAAAGCCATAGTTGCTCCTATAAAAGCCCATGACCTCCAGAATGTATAATGAAATGTATGATTAGTTTCTCTCCAAATTCTTGTTTGAATCCCAGAATACAGATCCAAAACTAATGTGATTTTAAACAATCCTAACTCATTTTCCATCATTACTAATCCTTAGATGAGTCACTCATTGATCAGTCTGTTGTCACCATCTCTTTGTTCACCATGTACAATTTCATCAATTTTACAATGCCAATCCCCTTTTCCTTTTGTACATATGTAACTAAACTTATTTAGACTAGATAACTGGCTTTCTTATGTAATCTTTTTGTCTCTTTTGTTTCAGTAAATAAGTCGGTTTCCTGAGGACCCACTGCTTTCAGATCGAGACTGAAGTATTTTTTGCTTACCATGTGGCTCATGAGATAAAACACCTGGTGCCCCATATATTTACTACATTGTATTAATATTGATATTCATAAATGTAGTTCAATTCTGTCACATTTGCCCTAGCGCTGACATTGCAGTAAGACCTAAGTTTTTCACTATATTTTGAATATTAATTCTTTAACCAGCAGCTGCATGTAAAAAAATGCAAACCACACATACAGTGTGAAGGATTGTGTGCCCAATAGCAATACACACTCCATTGCATAGACGTGCCACCAAAGTGCTAATGGTCTGATACAGTATGTACTGATCCTTAATGACTTTCAGGATGTACTGACACTAGGCGATCCATACCATGCCCGAGCACATTTGACCCCCAAAGTCCAGCTCATTCAATTAGTGTGCAGTTTCCAGGCACAGTTCAGCATACAGTACCCTGGCCCACTTGAAGATGTAGGCCCTGTTCAGTTGGACACAATTGGAAGTGGGCACAGTATGCATTGCTAACCATGCCCAGGCACATAACTTGAGCACTATGTGCTATGTAACAGTTGCATTGTAGTGCTATAAGCTTGCTCCAGCCTGGATCATTTCAAGTGTAGTGTGAGGGCATTCCAATGGGGGAATAGGGAGGGGGGACAATGGTGGTTGGTCACAGTACCTATTATAAGTACACAAAGATGAATCAACTGAAAAGAAATTCCATGCATTCCACAAATGTTTTGTGAATAGAGCATGCAAGCTTAATTTGTCACTGTTACTGAACAAATTAGAAATATATATTAGATGACAAAAATTCAATGTGATCTTCACTCAATAAGTAACATACAGTAAATTATTTGTGGCAGTTCTGTGAATTACAGAATTTTAAGAGGAACATTTGAGTGCAAGTCAGATGTCATGTTGGTTTAATTATGATGTCTGAGATATAGGAGTATTTGACCTGAATATTTTTATTCTTTACTGTCCAGTGAAAACTAAATTGAGTTTTTTATAAATGCTTAAGTTAAACATCCTGTATTTCTGATTGATGAGAATATTTTCCTAAGGCCACATAAACACACTGAACCCTTGGCAGAGAGGGCCATGTTGGCAAACAAAATTTACAGACTACCAGTGTCATTACCGTTTAATCAATTTTTTTCTGGAGGACTGAGGACTAAAATCCTGGCTATGGCTGTTGGTGTCTCAAAATTGAATAAACAATATATGCAAAGTAAATAGATTGTAATGCTGAATACAATGCCTTACTTTAATAATATATAATCTATTTACCAAATATAGAAATCTGTAATAGCATTTTTAATAAGACCATAGCCACTAACTATATACAAGTTTTTAAAACTGTATGTTTGGTTGTAGTAACAATAGGTGTACCTTTGTTGTAGTGAGCAGTGCGGCGGGCTATCACAGCAGCCTCGCCACTCTTGTTGGAGTTGCTGTATGGCTGGTAGTCTGGGGAGCTCCGCGCCTGTCCCCCCTTCACCTCTTCTGCCTTTAGGGCTATGGCCTGCTCCAGCAGTCCCAGGTTTCCCCGACTCATATCCCAATTCTCTGAGTCGTCCGTGATTTCTGAGCCCTCTGAGATACGATCCTGCTCCTCTCTTTCTTCTTCCTCCTCCTCCTCCTCCTCCTCCTCCTCTTCATCATCATCATCATCATCATCCTCCTCCTAATCAGATCGGACTTCTATAACCACTGTTGTGGGAGAGGCTTTGCTGAAGTCTTGGTCCTCCTCTTCCTCCTCCACCAAGTGACCTGCTTCCATCCCCTGCCTCTCATCCTTCACTTCCTCTATCTCCCCCACCTGCTTTTCAACATCATCCTGTTCTTCCACCATGGGAGTGCTGACCTTTTCTTCCCTGAGTGATACCATGGCTTCTGATCCCTGAGTGTGTGGAGTCAAACTGTAAGGATTATTAATGTATTGGTGGCCCATCCTCTCTTCACTGTCATCTTCCTCTGTCTCTTTCTGTTCTTCCTCCTCCTCCTTTTGTTTCTCCCTCTTACTCTGCTCTTCTGTTGATTCTTTGGCCTGATGGTTGTAATCTCCACTGGAGTACTGGTGATCAGAGTTTTTCTGGTTTATCATCCGTCTTTGTACCTCCTTTTCTTCTACAATATTCTCTTGCATTTCTTGCTGGCCTTCCCCTTCCATTTTTTCTTTTGCTTCATCTTCCTGCTCTTCTTTTTCCCCTTTAAGCACACTAACCTCAGTTTCTTCTACAAGTTGAGCCAATGACTGGTCTTTCATCACCAGCTGACTTTCCTTCTTCTTCTTCGTTTCTGTTTCCTCCTGATGATGGTCATCAATGAGTGTTACCAGCTTTGCTTCCTCAAGTGTTTTCTCACTTTTGGTTTTGTTTTCAGTCTCTGAGCTGACATTTTTGTTTTTTTCTTCGTGTCCAGCCAGGGGACAAACTGCTGTTTCTGTTGTTTCTGCATCCTCTGTCGTCACTGGTGAGAAGTCCGCTGTGGATTTAAAGTATAAATGAATGTCACTGTCATTGTCACAAATGGTTTGTCTTTGTCATCTCTACATGGTAACTTACAACTCAAGACATGCAATCCAACTGACCCTGTAGTTGGCCTAAACTGACTAGTTTCACATTAATGATGTGAAGCCTGCAAACTAGTTCAGGCAATTAACTTGAGTTAGCTGTTACATTCATGTGGCATACTCTTCCCCCTGAAACATACTGTATATCCAAGCCATCCTTTTCATATTCATACTTAAGTTGTCAGTCCTCTGTTCATGCTTTTGCTACCATACCTGCTGCCTTACTGCTCGCTTGAAAACTACACTTTTATCTGCTGCTGCTGTTCATATAACATTTCAAAAGCCCCACTTCTAGCCTGGCATCTACTGTACTATACCTGTACCCTCTGTACCTGTACCTGTACAGTCTGCATTCCTCCAGGTGGGTAAGTTAGTATAATTACTAACCACTTCCTGCTGTACTGAGGTTCATTTTTCTTTGTGGGGAGTAATGAAGTCAGACCTCAGATGCCAAAGGTTAATGCTGTACATATTTTATATTCATATAATAATCAATTCCATGTGAATTGACTGACTGAGCTCAATATCATACTTACCAAAATGAATGCTATGTTTCTGTCTGACTGCTGCTGTGACTGCTGAATGGGCTTACCAGGCACTGGCCCAGGAGCCAAGGGAACAGAAGGTCAAGGGGCCAAGGCCACTGTTAAAGGTGCTTGTTTTAAAATCAGAGAGCTCAGTTAAAACAAACCAACAGATGAAAAATTATCCCAAAGAAATGTCTGTGCAGATTCTCAGTCATCCAGGTCATAGTAAACTGACAAAAAACTGGTCCACCCGAAGGACAAAACACCAAGACATAAACAGAGTGATGTGGTGTATGCAATTAAGTGTAGTCAGGAGTGTAACGACTTGGACATTGGTGAAACTAAGCAGCCGCTTCACAAACGCATGGCCCAACACAGGAGGGCCAACTCCAGTGGACCAGAGTCAGCAGTCCACCTCCACCTGAAGGACAAAGGACATTCTGTTGAGGACAGTGAAGATCCTCTCCAGAGAATATCGCTGGTTTGAGAGAGGAGTTAAGGAAGCTATTTTTGTCCAAATAGAACACCCCTCACTAAATAGGGGTGGTGGACTAAGACACAACTTGTCATCCATCTACAATCCTGTTTTGAGATCTCTGCCCAAACATGCCCACCAGGACAGTAGGCATCGGTCCACAGAGGAGAATTCAAAGACAGGTAACGACTCTCACCAATACTGGGCTATAATGACTCAGTCCTTAGGGGACATTGTTGGCCTTCAAAGGACTGAAACCCCACCGAGGGGGATAAATATCTCTGGCTCAACACCAGTTAGTCAGAACTGATGAAGCCTCTTGGATGAGAGGTGAAACGTCTTTGACTTAGAAATCTAGTCCAGTTGATTTTTTCTAAGTTTTTTCAATCCCAAAGAAATGTAAATCAACCACAGAGACACAAAATGATTACAAGGAGATGTAAAAAGACCACAAAGTAAACCAACAAACAATCAAACAAAAGCTGTGTTTCCACTATCAGAACCTAATCAAAGGTATATCCTGTTTTCCATAACCATCACCTGGCATAACCTCATGGGCAAACAGTTCCACTGTTTTTCCTCCATGTCAGTCTCTGCTGAAACAAGGGAGGGGCTGTACTACTTGCACACTCATACTCACAGACACACACACCCTTGCAGTCATCATCTACAAACCTGCGTATAAATTTACATTCATTTCCAGGAGACTTAGCCTAACCTTAACCAAATCCAACACTTGGTATAACCTTACATCCCATTATTTTCAAAAAATTCTATAAATTTGTCATGGGACCCAGCCTTTGGTCCCCACAAGTGACGTCTGGTCCCCACAAAGCAGTGTTCTGTCCCCACAAGTATATATAAACAAGGTCACTCACACACACATACATATCCTTGTTTATATCACTTACCGGGTCCCTACACAGGCCATCTTTCTTTTCCAGAAGACTTACCCCAACCTTAACCTGAATTTCTACTTTCCTAACCTTAACCCTTGCCCTATTTCATGGGGACCAGTCTCTATAGTCTTGACAAGTGACTTCTGGTCTCTGAGAAGATATTAACTCCTGGATTTCTGTCCAGAAAGTATAGAAAAACAAGGCCACCCACACACAACTGAGCAGAGCACATGAGAGTCAGGTTCGCTCTGCACTACCTGTCTCTCCTTGCTTTCCCCTCACTCCCTCTCTCCTCTCTGGATGGTTCTCAGTCCTGGGTGTGACACACATCTGCACCTCGTTACACAGCTGGGGCTGATTACCCTCCTCTTATTTAAGACGCTGGCAGACGCTCCTCCTTTGCCAGTACGCTGAGGATACCTGTCCGAAACTTTGGCTCGCTACGCAAACAACAGTGTGTACCCTCAAAATACCTCACCACTCCTACCCGGTCTTTCGCCTCTCTCCACATTTCCAGCACACTCTTCTACTAAGGCTGATCTAGATTTCCCCATGACATTCTACTCCTCAACACTGCCAGCGGCTCTCTGCTTCCTTGACGTGCAGACCATAACCACCCCTGCTTCCAGCCACTCGTAACTACTGCTTAGACTGGCTAACACTCGACTGCTTCCCCTGGATTTCCCCACTCACCGGCCTCCTGTGAGCATTCATTCTCCAGTTCAACACAGACAGGTGTTTCACTGGATCCTAACATCAAAGACTGTCATCTCTCATTGTTGTTCTTTTGTTAATAAAACTTCTACCAGACCGAACTGCCTGCCCTCTGAGTCTTGCCTGCTAGCTCACCTTATTCTAGTGTGTGAGCAACCATAACAATGAGTCAAGAATTAGAATCATCATTAATTGCAAGTATGTTTGAACATACAGGAATTTGACTCCGGTACAGAGTCTTTCAATGTGTTGTAAGGCAACAGGAATACAAAATAACAATATTAATAAAAATTAAAAATAAAGTAATGAAAATTAGAATAAACAGTCTGTACATTCAAATACAAAATGTATGCAATCAAAAATAGGAATGTAAAATAGGAAGGGAAAAGAGAGATATCATTTATAAATATATGTACATCTATATACATTATGGCAGAAGAGCTTTCAGACTGATGTATGCAATAATTATATTTACAATTTATTGCACAGGGGTGATGTTGTGTCCAGTCATACACTCCTGGATTAAGTGTGATGGAGCAGAGGAAGGAACTGTCCTTGTCTCTGGCTGTTTTGGCATACAATGATCTGTAGCAAAATCCAGAGGGAAGGAGTTCAGTTTGTCCAGGGTGTGAGGGGTCTGCAGAGATCTTCTCAGGCCTTCTTTTGACCTTTGAGTTGTATAGGTCTTCCATGGAGGGCAGGCTCACACCAATGATTCTTTCTGCGGTCCTGACAGTTCACTGCAGACTGTTCCTGTCCTGTTTGGTTACTGAACCAAACCAGACAGTGATGAATGAGCAGAGAATGGACTTGATGCTTCCTCTGTAGAACTGTAGCAACAGCTACTGGGGCAGGTTGATCTTCCTGAGCTGGTGCAGGAAATGCATCCTCTGCTGTGCCTTCTTGGTAATGGTGCTGATGTCGGCTGTCCACTTCAGATCCTGGGAGATAGTGGAGCCCAGGAACTTGTAGGACTCTATTACTGATACAATAAGGTAAATGATAGGGGAGGCTCCTCCTGAAGTCTACTGTCATCTCCACTGTTTTGAGAGTGTTCAGCTCCAGGTTGTTGCTGGTGTACCACCACTGGGCCAGCTGTTCAACCTCTCATCTGTATGCAGACTCATCCCCCATCTCGGATGAGACCAATGACCGTTGTGTCATCTGTGAACTTCTGGAGTTTAACAAAGGTGGTCCCCTGAGATGCAGTCCCTGGTGTTGAGGAAAAAACAGCAGAGGGGAGAGCACACATCCCTGGGGGGGGGGGCACCCATGCTGATAGTCCAGGTGCTGGATGTGATTTTCCTCAGCCTCAACTGCTGCTTCCTGTCTGTCAGAAAGCTGGTGATGCACTGACAGGTGTGAGCTGGATCAGTTTTGAGTGAAGGATGTCTGGGATGATAGTGTTAAATGCCAAGTCTACAATGAGGATCCATGCATAGGTCCCTGGGAAGTCAAAGTGTTGCATGATGTAATGTAGTGCCATGTTGACTGCATCATTCACTGACCTATTTGCCTGCAGTAGGCAAACTGCAGGGGATCCAGCAGGGGATCCATGATGTCCTTCAGGTGGGCCAACACCAGTCTCTCAAAGGACGTCATAACTACAGATGTCAGAGTGACAAGTCTGTAGTCATTCAGTTTCTTGATTGGGGGTTTATTGGGAACTGGGATGATGGTGGAGCATTTGAAAAAGGAGGGGACTTCACACAGCTCCAGTGACCTATTGAACACTGTGTGAAGATGGGAGCCAGCTGATCAGCATAGGCTTTCAGGCAGCTGGGAGCCACACCATCTGGGCCTGGTGCTTTCCTGATCTATTGTTTTTTAAAAAGGCCACACACATCCTTTTCACAGATCATTAGAGGTGGGGGGCTGGAGGGAAGGATGATGATTGTTGGGGGAGCAGCTGCTGGAACTGAGGTGGGGAGGGTGAGGGGGGAGGGTTGTTTGTCTACCTCCAGTCAGCTTTTCAGAGTAGCTCCTCTTTGCTACTCTGATCTCCCTTGTCAAAGTGTTCCTGGCCTGCATGCACAGGGTCTTGTTCCTGCTTCTGTAGGCCTCCTCTTTGGCACAACAAAACTGCTTGAGTTGTACTGTGAACCAGGGATTATTGTTGTTGTATGTTCAGAAGGTCTTGGTGGGCACACACACGTCCACACAAAAGCTGATGTAAAATGTCACTGTGTTGCCTCTAAAGCATTTATTCATCTATTTATTTTTGGTTGAAGTTGTTGATAACTATTTGTGGTGAAGAGCCACGTCAATAACTATGTAAAAAAAAAAAACTGCTACATCTATTGAATAATTTGGGCCGAGTGATGACGTCAAGTATTGGTTAAACATAACTGATTCTAAATGTTTATTATAATGTTTTTATCATGCTGTTATATGGAAGAATGGACAGTAAATGATTGACCTTACTACAACCTTCTTCATTGACTCCGGTTTGACTTAGTGTTTAGTCTCAACACGCTGTACAAGAACACTAAAGTCACAGTGATTCCATCCAGGTCTGTAGACGCAGCCTCAAGTACGCTCCAGTGTATTTGGACCTCCTTGGTCCATCTCTTCACTTTTTTGACCATAGGCTTTGCAGCCAATGCCTATAGATTGGGATGAGATGGCCCATGCATTGATCAGAGTGTCCAAGAGCTGCACAGGGGACAGAGCGATAGGCATCTTTTATTACTGTGTAGCAGTGGTCCAATGTATTTTTGTCCCTGGTGGGACAACTGATGTGCTCCCTGTATTTGGGCAGTTCATGGGGTAGGTTTGCTCTGTTAAAATCCCCTAGGACAGTGAGTGGGGGGCTGGGATGTTTCAGCTCCATGCCAGTTATCTGGATGGCCAGGTGGTGTAGTATGCTAGTGTGGACCTGCAGTGATACAGTATATAAACTCTGACCAGAATGAATGAGGAAAAATTTTCTTGGTGAATAAAATGGTTTGCAGTTTATGAAAAGAGTCTTTACACCAAACTTCATTTATGTGTTAAAAGATTCACTCTCCTTTTGTTTTTGCAGATAACTCTATTACAAGATCAGCTTTGTATATGTGGACCTCCGATATAAAATGCTCCTTAGTGCAAAATCAGCCAGTGACAGAGATCGTATGAGCAATTGTTCACAGCTGTTGAACAAACAGAATACAAATCTGCAGAAATGTGACATCTTCACCATTTTGCCTGTGGACAACTAGCCGAAGTACCCATTTTACCTCTAAAACAACAAGTGAAGTCCTCAGTCATTTTATCTCTATAGCAGTGAGCGCGTTTACACATGGTGATTGTATTGGTGTTGTTATCAGCATGGGTCATCCCTTCCGAGAAAAGGAATGTGCTGTGGAGCTGCTACTAATTCAGTCAGTTGTGTTTCCACTGCACCACAAAAAGCATTGGTTATCTTATGCATCTCGATCACATGGGGGCAGCGCAAGCTGCTGAGAAGCTGTGATGTGTTAGTATGGTTTTACCTAGTTGCAACACAAAACTGTTTGTGCTAGGCATGATTTTAACCTCTCATCAGAATACAAAGTGAGAGACTCCATTTTCAAATCTTGCTGTAATGAAATAACGGATAAAAAGTGAATACAGAATTTGTAAGGACTTTCCCTTGGTGAACATTTCAGCCAATCATGTCTCAATGAGTCATCTCTGATGAAGGCGGGGCTTGGCCCAGTCAACTCTGGGTAGAGACAAGGCCAGCTGAGCTTGAGTCGCCATAGAAACAGTCAGAAATGGAAGCCAGCTTAAAGCAGGTTAAGGGGTCAGTTAAATTTAAAAATTCATGCTATACGTACAACCAAAAAAAGATTTTGTATTTCCATAAGTGGGGTAAAACTATGGAATAATTTAAGTGTAGACATAAAAAATAGTAATAGAATTGACGAGTTTAAACATAAATATAAAGGTATGTGTCAATCAAGATATATGCAAGAACAGGCTTAATGATTAATTAGATGGAACATTGTGGGTGTGTTGTATGAATGTTAATACTCTGGAATAATTCTTTAATATATTACTTGTGTGGTGTAGAAGATAATTATTTAAGAATGTAATTATGTAAGAATGTTAACACTGTTATAATTTTTTTAGTATATTACTTGTGTGGTGTAGAAGAGAATTATTTATGTAGAGATACTGCTTGCAAACCAATGATGGTAAGATGATGTCATGGGGTAGGACTGGATAAGTCTGACTTCTTCCTACTCCATTCAAGCATGTACTAGGTATAAGCAAATTGATATTGGATTAGCATTTGTTGGATATGTGTAAAATTATGTGTGTTGATATATCAACTGTCTTTACATGCCTGAAAGAATAAATCAAATCAAATCAAACCTCTGCTGATGGAAAATCATCATAATCGCTCAAAAGACAGTACTATTTGTTATTGTATACCACCCACCTGCCCCTTGGTCAGTTTTTAATAGAATTTTCATACTTTGTCTGATTTAGTGCTTAGTACAGATAAAATAATCATAGTGGTTGACTTTAATATTTATGTAGCTGTTGACAATGACAGCCTCAAAAGTGCATTTCAATCACTGTTAGACTAAACTGGAATAGCTGGCTGGTCCATGTGATGACTGGGCTCCTCAAGCTTACCTGGTGGGGAGCACTTGCTCCCTTAGCGGTCTTGCTTCAGTGGGCTCTCGCTGAGGGTCGGGGAACTAGCAAACTCAAGGAGGGCTACCAGGACATGAATTGTAGCATTGCTTCTTCTCCTAGTTGGATGATGAGCTTGCTGATCTCCCAAAGTAATGTCATCTTCTTTGGAGATCCCACTTCTGACCTCAATTGTAATGTTGACAGGAGGAAGAAGGGGCTGGAGACAAAATTGCATTTTTCTGCACCCTTTTGAGCCGCTATTTTATTCTAAAACAGCCAGCCAACCTAACAGCAACAGCCTGACCACTAAGACAATCCCCACCAACCCACAACTATGTATATACAACTTGTCCCCAGGGGTATTCTGGGAGTTCCCACCAGGTGCTTCCCTGCCGCCCAGTGCCACACAGTTTATGATGAATCATCCATGCAGACTAAAGTTAGTCACAGGGCTCTGTGCTAGGTGCTGACACACTAAAGTAGCCTACAGTATGACACAATGAACAACCATTTAGCTCAAAGTCCCACTGTGCCTATCTATGCACAGCCTCACAGAACTGCTAGCATGTCTGTAGACTGTCTGCAAAAACAAAACAACATACAAAAAATGTATGCTCTGCAAATGTATTATAGTTTTTTCTAACATTTCTATGTTTTTAGTGAATTATTACATCATTTTAATTCTTAAAGAGTTATTCAAATGAAACTATGTGAAGTCTTCACAATGGTAGTGTACAATATATCTAATCTTTCATGGTAACATTTCTAGTTTCACTCACTTTGTATTGATTCTGGCCTGTTTTTTTTGTTCTGTTTCTTCTCTTTGAGGTCTTCCTCTTTATCCTCTTTCTGCTCCTCCTCCTCTTCTGGTGCATCACTGTCTGTGGTGAAGCCTTTATCTGCTGCCTGTTTGCCAAGCTGGTTCCTCCTCTTTGGAGCAAACTGGTTCTCCTCAGCCACAGCCCCTTCCTGCTTCCTTTTCTTCACAATAGGGCATCCCAGTATGCTGAGGAGAGTAGGATGTAGGTGAAAACTAATATCCAAAATGCTAACATACAACAACAAAACTAACCATTTTTAGTTGATTTGCCAACACTTTTACATTGTGAGATGTAATGGATATTGCTGTTTCTAGATGCCACTATAAGGGATATATACATGTATAGTGGTTAAAAACAAATCAGATTACATAGAGTTAGATTACATATAGATATATTTAGATTACATATAGATATTATTTGTAGTAGGTAATAACTGATAGTTATGTAAGGGTGAGCTAAGTGTTTATTTAATCTTGGAGAGATCTGTTTCTCTGCTCTGAAATATTTGAGGGTGTTTGTGCATGGAGACCATGGGAACTATGAACTGATGGTTTGTTCAAGCAAGAATATCCTGGCTTGTGTTCTTTTTGTTTAGTTTATGGGTTCATCTTGAGAATAAACATCTAGAGAGTAAACATGTGCCAAATGTCAACATGCGAGTCATCAGTGTGATGATTCGCTGTGGGGACCCCTAAACGGGAAAAGCCGAAAGTGACTTTCTTTAATACATAATGTTAAGACATTATGGGATGTAACGATACCAAAAATGCATGATACGATATTGCCATGATAAAAACTCCATGATAGGGTATTTATACTGTATCATGATATTTAAAAATTTAAAAAAAAAAATGCTAAGAACTACATTAGTAATATTTTTAATAAAAGCAGGTGGTTGACAGGATGACTGGTGTCACAAAACAAATGTTACAACAGTGGAAAAAATATTGTATTTAAATAATAAAAATAGCAACATTAATGCTAACATTAATAATAATCCTAATATTTGTTATTATGATCATCACACAATTATTATCATTATTATCAATCTGTACAATTGTATGCACTTCTGTGCAACACTTCCACCTTAATATCTGTGTTTATGAAGCTCAAAATGTTTCAGATTTTGGTGAAACTGCCATCAATGTATAAATTAAAGTATATGTTTATTATTGATGTCATATTTAAAGGTAGTGTTGTGCTGGACTACATGTATATATTCAGAGGTGTTCATAATATTCTTACCCTCTTATGTATGTAGCTGGGAAGGAAAAAAATATAGAGACAACCGCTTTAACTTGGATGAATTGTGGTGAGCAAATCTAAGACTGATAGGATGCAAAAATGCTGGGCCATCGTATTTGGAATAATTAATTTTAATTTTGCTTTAAGTAAAAAATTTGGGAAATTTGTATAATGTATATTCTACACTAATATCAAAAAGAGCCATCCCTGGTAGGCTAGTGGTTAAGGTGCAGCACTCTTGCCGCTGCGTCCCGGGTTCGAATCAGGGTTGTGTTAGGAAGGGCATCCGTTGTAAAACACATGCCAAATGTCAACATGCGAGTCGTCAGTGTGACGATTCGCTGTGGTGAACCCTAAACGTGAAAAGCCGAAAGTGGCACACACTAATATCAAAAAGGCTGACCTGGTGCCTTTCTGTATGTCCTCCCTGTGCCTGCGTGGGTTCTCTCCTGGTACTCCGGCTTCCTCCCACATTCCAAAGACATACAGCTTAGGTTGACTGGGGACTCTAAATTGCCCGTAGGAGTGAGTGTGCGCATGTGTGATTTCATTTTCAAGGATTTTAAATAATATTCACGGTCATATACATTATATATAATTTTGAATGTGCCCTGCCTGATTGTGGGCTGGCATTGTGAAGCTATGCACTTAAATTATGTATGGTTGGATTAGTGCAAATCAAGTCCATAAAAATATTAATGTTGCAGTGCTTGGCTTGGCAATGACGGTGATAATTTTTCTCCAAGGGAGAATCAGAAACAGATGTACAAGTGTCGTAATTATTGCTAGATTACTATCTTGCTAGCAAATACGGCATGTAGTCATTATGGGCAGGATACTCCGCAGTACTATGGGGTAAGGCCATTGCCAGTGAATGACTTTGAGGCCAGGTGTACTTTATATTATAAACTTTTAAACTTCGGACAAGGATAAGGATAAGTTGACTAAGCTTAAGGAATCTGATGATAAGATAGCCATCAAGGCAGCAGACCTCAAAATGTACAGTAACTCTTGTTTTTATACATGCCATCATCATGTGTTCTCTCTATTGGTGAGTGATCTTGCTCTGTTATGCTCCAACATTACATAGCCTTTTTTTAAATATAAAAAAACGTAACTATATATCTGTGATCTATTTTTAAATATCTTTGTCTTTTTTAGGAGGCAGTGGACTCGAGACTGAATGCCACAAGGGAGGTGGAAAGTACAGTATTAAGATTATATGTTGTTAAGAGTTTACTCTTTTTGTAGGATTTAGTTTAATTTCATTTGTGTGAAGAAACACAGTTTGGCTGCTACTACTGTACCTCTAGTTATCTTAAGATTTTGTGAACTATTAAATCTGTAAAAATATCCATGTAATCTTAATAATGACAGTTTCGACAGTGTGGTCAGTTTATTATTAGACTCAACTGGCTTTTCTCAAACTGTAAATAAACCCACTCACTGTTTTAATCACACCATTGATCGTATTCTGACATATGGCACTGAAACAGAACACTTAATATGTAGTTTATCCCCAAAACCTTATTCTGACTGACCATTTTCTAATAACTTTTGAGTTTACATTAATAGATTATACACTATGTGGGGAAAACAATCGATTAGAGTAAATATCTGACAATGCTGTTACCAAATTTAAGGAAATAATTCCATCATTATTTACTTCAGTGCCTTGTGCCAACACAATGGAGGGAGGCCATCTAAAATTTACTCCCATACAAGTCTATAATCTTGTTGATAGTGGTGCAGCTTGACACTTGATACTGTTGCCCCTCAGAAAAAGAAGGCCATGAAAGAGAGGAGGCCCCATGGTACAGCTCGCATCTCCACTCCCTAAAGCAGGCATCACTATAACTGGAAAGGAGGTGGTGCTCCACTAAATAAGAAGAGTTTTGCCTAGCCTGGAAGGATAGTTTAGTAACATCTCTTTTAAAAAGCCCTTTGTAGTGCCAGAACTGCATATTATTCACAGCCACAAGGCCAAAGCGGACATTTTGTAAACAATGTCTTATTCTGAGGGACTCAGAATATTCATAACTAATAAATTAACTGATTCTAAGCATTGAGAACAAGCTGAAGACTGCTACATGCAGGACTATCTCTCCTTATCAGATGGAGAGCTCGGATCCTGGCTTCAGAAACCCCAAACACCCTCTCTTCGTGACTCCCAGTACATATCCTGAACCTCACACTCTGAACTTAGTTAGTCTCAGCTAGTTAAAACAAACCCAAAATGGTTGGCCCTTTTATCTGATTGGTTTCCAGTGGAACGGAACACAAGAATATTAGACTGCAATAAAATGTGGCTTAAGACTAAGACAAAGAAATGCCATTAGATTTGAAATTGTGCAATTTTGTTAACCAGAAATCCGGCGACAACAGATTGTCATGAGTCTCCAGAACGGGACCATCTCAGAACTAGACCCGGTTCGACTCTGACCCAAAGAGGCTCCAAACCAGTGCTTCTCTCCTCCTGACCACATGGAATCTCCAGAGCTAAATGGCTCCTGCTAACAGCTAAGTGTACTCTGGCTAACTGATGTCTCATGAAAACTGTAGCTATTAGTTATCAAATTAGAGTCTCTAACCTGTAGCAATCGAGTTATTTTTCCTCTCCATATTCGTGATTAAACCCCAGAATTTAGATGTAGAATCTGGCTCAATTTTTTACCAAAATAACCATCTCCACCATTGCAAACAACAGACTGTTCGGTCATTCATCCATCAAAACATTCACAAATGTACCATTTAAATTACTTCTATCCCTATTTTACCTGTGTACATATTGTAAATACATTTATTTAGCTCATAACTGGCTTCATTATGGCATCCCATGTGTCTCTCCTAAGAGGTCACTGAACTGCTAGAATTCGCTTTCAGATCTAGACTCAATTAATTGCTCCTAACTAACTGTTTTAATAGTTTGATAGAACCATAATCAACCATTTATAGTTGGTTTGCCCTAATCTAACGAGTTGTTTAATATTATGTATTAATATTCACGTTGTAGTCATTTCTTCTACTTGTCCTCTTAGATCTCAGTGCTGCTTTTGACACCATTGAGCACATAATCTTATGATAGAGACTTGAACTTGTTATTTGGATTAAAGTAACTGCACTCCAGTTTGCTCATGTTAATGATGAATCTTCTATGCAGACTAAAGTTAGTCATGGCATTCCACGGAGCTCTGACCTAGGTCAAATTCTCTTCACTTTGTACATGCTCCCTTTAGACAGTATTATCAGGTCACGCATCCTAAATTTCCATTGCTACACAGATGATACTCAGTTATATTTATTTGTGAACCCAGATGAATCAGATCATTAGGTCAAACTTCAAGCATGTCTTAAAAACTTAAAGGCCGGGATGACCTGGTGGTTTAAGATTAATTAATCTGTTTATTCATTTAACAGACCCATAGCACGGTATATGATTATTTAAAATCAGATGCACATCCCTGGCGGTCGTTTGGAGAATAACATCAGGACAGACAGATATACAATATTTACTTGAGTAGAAATACTCATTTACATATGGGAATATGAGTTGGTGCATTGAAATAGACTCTCTCGTGCCAGGGTAACACATGCACAATTGAATGTCTCTTTTTCTCTGTGTTTCCACTCCATCACTCGTTCAGTTTATACATAGGCACCCTCAACACTGACAAACGTACGTTTCAGTAAAAAAAAGATCTGTTACTGTTTGATATATGCTCTAGCTGCTTCTAAGTGAGATTACATCAAATGAACACATCGATATTATGTAAAATAAAGCAAATGCCAAACTCAACGGCTGATGATACCTATGTATAGACAATCAGAGAATCACAAAGTTATCGTATAGGTGTTAAAAGCAGCAGTATTTCACTAAGTGTGATGATATTAAATAAAACAAATCGGCAAACGTGTCCAGCCTAAGGCACACCTGTGCAAT